AACGTTCTAGATTTATTATAGTATTTGAATAGAACATATGGCAACGATTAGGTCATTCTTCAAATGATATACATTTTGTGCATGCTGAGTTATAACATGAGTCCTTAGCCCCGCTCACGCTCAGTACAAAAGATGGCGCAACGTTTACTTCTCTTCTAGAGACTCTGCACTAGGTGCAAAAAGTACGTTCCATCTTACTGGATTGAACTCATCATTAAAGATACCACCTTTACCAATATAATATATTGGTAAAGGCGGCACTAGGCCGATTGCCTCTTAATTGCGTTACGGCATAGACATGACATAACTTTGCGACAATATAATGGCTTCAGTTACTTGGAATTATAACATTTTGCTCTTATCATTTATTTTTTTATAGTGCCTCCGTATTCGCGTGTACTATGTTCCAAGGTTTACCATAGATACATTAACCGCGAATAATGGCAAATAGTATGCATAACACAAGATATTCATGGAAAATATGTGTAAATCACATTTAATTAACAAATTATGGAATAAAATATACTGTAGGTTTCACTGTGTTACATACTGCAAGACTACTTAAAGTAATGCAAAATATACTACATATTGTCTCATACGTATGGAAAGTAACGGATTTTTACGAATTGGTCTAATCCTCCAAAAGCCGATTGAGAAGAAGAAAAAAAAAAAAAAGACTTCCTGTACTGCACTCTCTGTAAAATGTAATAATCTATTTAATAATATATAATCGTAGAAAAAAAAGTGTTCTTTTACCAGCACAAAAATTAAATAGGATTAAATTATAACTGATGAGAATATAGGGAATGCTAGAAAAAGTGTGAGGGAAATTTTGAACGGATATGAATGGGTACGAAATGAAGAGTTGCAGGGAATCGCGTTCGTTTTCTTTGATCGCGACTCCCTACTGCCAGTAGTACAGCCATAGTGTCAGGGGCCTGAATGTGACTACTGAGAAAGAGCGTTAAGTGATGTAAAAGTGATATTTTAGATATTTAAGTACATTAGTGAAATACTGTGGAAAGACGATAGTAATAGGACTTGAGTAGTTTATCTTCGCATTTCACTCTATTAATCTTGCTCTCCCATAACTCGCATTTAAGAACGTAAGTTCCCCGTTCTGCGAGGATAGCTAACTGTAACCATCGATAACAAAACAACAATTGTCGTTCTAAAACAAGACATCTGTCTACTTTGTCTGTCTGTCTAATGCTATATTAAATTCGATATGCTGCATTTTCCAAAATACTGCATGGCAAACAAGAACCCAAAAGCACAAATAAATGGTAAGAAATTTCAAGTAAATAATAAAGAAAGAATATCTGTGTTTATATGGGAAGGAAGATATTTCTTTCTCCCCCTGAAATGGGAATCAAACGTTCCTACATTTCTAACAAGATCCTAGCCATCGCTGGGTGTATTATATAAAGAGTTAGTTTGTCCGAAGCGTATTTCCACTTTCACTGTTCAGAGATCTAGCGACATTCCAAATTTCTCAATACTTGTGAAGGGCACTATTTATTGAATAGTATAGAAAGAAACAAGATCAGTAAGACTGATATCACACATCTATTTTATTTCAGAGGAAGAATTGTTTCAAATAAGTTTTCTACCTTTGTTAGTGAAAAGAAAGACTCACGATTTTTTCCTGTCTTTCGAATAAAACTGTAAGCTTTTCGTTTTCACCAACTAGTCAACAATCAACACCGAATTCCCCGTCATCAGCTATCATTTGATATCGAGAACTAATTTTCCCTTTGGATGGTAACCCCAAAAGGAAAAAAGAGCCTCTACCCACGTATCAAAGATTTATTCTTCAGGAAATGCAAAGAATTTACGATTGCCGGTAAATTGTTCGTTCTCGAAAGCACTAAATATATGACCATTCTGGGCCTGTACGTTCTATGCTAATTACTTCCCGCGGAAAGACAGGCTTTTTGGAACAATAATAACCAAATATGGGAACGAAAATTGTCACTTATACAGAGCTTTACTTTTATTTGCAGCTAATCCTCGGATTCGGGGCGAAATGTTTCCTTGTCACATTATGCTTGACAGCTAGAATTACATCGGCAGAGGATCGTATTCGAAAAGTGATAGACACGTTTTTTCGTTGTTTTCATACCTACACATCTGTCATTAAAAGTTCATTCATGCCCTGTAATTGTTTCTAGTATTTTCATTATTCTCACGAATGACACTTTGACCGTTTTTACTATTTCTCATTGGTGTGCTGAAAAAAAAATTCTTTTTGCTTCTATCATTCCTAGAAATAGTATACTCTATATTCAGGCCTTAAATTCAGCCGTAGCCCGGCTCCGTTGTTTTTTTAGCTGTGGACTGAAATTGTAATTCCAGACAGAGCCTGAAATAAAGCAAGGTCCAGCATTTAGTTTTACTATTTATTTTATTATCATTAATTTGGTAAATGTTTATTTGTCTCGAAATTAGGCAAAACAACAATCTTATTGATTTCAAACAGCAGATTTCTTTCTATTCCTAAAGAAGAGGGATCTGACTGACTCGAAACCGACAGAGTTTTGTTCAAAATCTTCGCTGAAGTAAGTTTGCTATTTGGCCTAATTTTGAATTTTAAATTGTCGTCCTGCTCTTCCAATTTTTATTTATCTCTTTATATTTTATTGAATTTTTAGTCCAAAGGGGCTTTGTTCCTGAAGGACTATTGTTTTCTTTTTGCGATTTTGCGTCGAAACCCTATAAATGGCGTATCACTTTTCAAATCGTTGCCACCAAATACTATCCTCATGTATTATATTTAAAGACATTAAATAATGAAGAATCTGCATAAATGTATGTATGTTTCTCGCACTGTCATAAAACAACGCTACCTAGAGCCATCCGATTATGAATGTTGTAATCCTACTGCGGATATGGGCCTCTGAAAGCCCAAATTTGAAATTTGGAATTTGTTTTTTTTATCGATTTCATATTTGTAAAACTTTAACGAATTTTCGATTAACAAACTCAAGGATTTCAAAGCGAGCAACGGCAACGTTGTAAAAAAAAATATTTGCAGCGCCTAAGACTGTGTATCGGAAATTCTAAAAATATGCTCCATTTAAAATTATTTTGTGATATTGCTCTTGAACTGAATTTTATGGTTAAGTGCGAAGAACATGATATTTAATAAATAAAGGTAACACTCAGAAAGTTTAAAAAATGCCTCTTTGGACGTAATTTAAAATCTGAAACCTTTAAGATTTTCTTCTTTATTTATAATTTTATTACATTTATTTTTATAATTTTAATTATTTTCGTTATTAATTGTTTAATTATTTTGCTTTTACCACCTGTTAATACCCAGATCAAGAACACTAAATTCTCTTCGAAAATCGGTGCTTCGAGGTTGCAACAAAGAGATAAAAATCTTTCATTTTCCTCTTTTGCATACGGGTACTTTTGATTGCAATATATATTCCTAATACATTTTTACAGTTTTGTGAGAAAATTTGTCAGTGGCCAGCCATTGAATATTAATAGTATTTATTCTGACAAAACTTTTCTGAAGAATTTTTTTTATTATTATTATTTGTGTGACATTGTGTACTTTTCCTCTTTTGAATGCGGGTACATTTGAAGCATTTGTTATTTCGTAGTTTATTTCTGCTGAATTTTTGCTGTTCTATGAAGAAATTGGTCAATGGTCAGCCATTGATATTAATAATCTTTTAGGAGACATTTTTCTCAAAAGAAAGTTTTTGATTATTTGTGGGACATTGTGTGCTTTTTAATGTCTTATTTTTTATAATTTATAATTTTGTTTTGTATTAAGCGTTTAAACTTCAATAGTATTAATTTTTAGCATATGTTTTCCCAGCTTTATTCAGGTTCACACGATAATTTAGAAGTGAAAATTAATTATAAATTAATAATTGTTATACAATTACCGATTCATAGTACTCCTTGTATGTGATTTAATATAAAACTTTAAAAAAAATAGAAGGAAAATTTTAATTCTGTTTCACATAAAAGTACTAAAAATTAATTGTACATAAAAAATGTTTTCAAAAATGAGTTATTTCCATTTAGAGTGTTTTACTAAATCAGAATACAATTTGCATTAGATATTAGAATACAAAAGAAAAGGCAGAAAACAAAACAAAAAAATGAAAAGAATTATTTTTAAAAATAAAGAAACGTAAATAAATTACTGCTGTTAAGTAATGAGGAAGGTGTATGTATGTGTTTTTCGCATTGTTGAAAAACGGCGTCACTTAGAGCTGCCGTATTTTGAGCATTCCTAATTCTTTGCTTGAACATATGCACAACGAAACCCGAAATTTTGAATTTCGGTTTTGTTTTCCACTTATTTCACATTTTGTGCAAATTTAATAAATTTTTGATTAACAAACTCTGCGATTTGAAAGTGAGGAGTGGCAACACTGTTAAAAATGAAAAATTTTTAGCTCCTGCGTTCCAGACTACTGCCATTTGGCAAAATGAAAGATATTATTATTCACTTTTAATCAACAAACTCGGCTATGTAACGGCGATGTGTTATCACTGCCTGAAATAAAGCACTTATATGCTAGCGCGTTTCCATTCGTTAAAGTGTATTATATTTAGCTTTCAAATTTAATCTGTTTGCTATTTATTAACAAACCAAGCGATTTAAAAGAAATAAGTGTAGTTCCTAAGAATATTTTTTCTTCTTTCTAACCTGACTGAGTTAAATATAAATGCATTAAAATCACAGATGTCTAATTAGAAATATTAAATATTTTTATGAAATGGCTCTGGCAAAACTCATTAAAATCATCATATGTTTTATCTTTTTATAATTATTATTTTAGGCGGTAGCCGCTCAAGCCGCTAGTAATATATATATATGTAAAAATACTGTCAAACAATTGTTTGCTTAACAGTGTGGTGAAAATTTATGTCTGTCTTCCGGAAATGATGACTCTGGCTATTTGAAATGGCTTCGTCTCTGTTAGTTCACTTAAATGAGTTCTGCGATAGTTTCAAATAAATTAACATTTAAATGTAACAGTTTTTATTTCCATTTAAATACCATTAAGCACTATACATAACTTGTTACCATAGACGTAAGTTTATTAATTTTCAGTTGAATCGTATACCAAGACCAGTAAAGCTGTTTTTTCCACCATAGTTAATGTCATCGCCGTCAAGTCGCCTGTGCTGAACACGGGAATTTCGTCTTCTGTAGTGACCATAATCATAGTCAGAAATACCATGGCTTTTCTTGTAACCCCCAAGACCTCTGGGTCGGAGATAGGGACCATAGTCTCTATATCTCCTTCGGTAACCGCCAGCCGAAGAATAACTTCCATCTGGGTAATAGTGACTGCTGTAGAGTTTGGGTTTATAATAGCTGTCTTGCCTTGGATTATAACGGTCATTATATTCATCGTGATGTGTATCTACTGACAAGTCTCTATCGCGAGGAATATGGCGGCGTTTGTATCTGTAAGGGACGATGTCCCCTTGTCTGTAAGTATCTTCATAAGGGTATCTGCATTCTATGGCAGCAATCCAGACTGCGATGAGTACTGTGACAATCTGGAAAGAATAAAAATGTCAACATTAGGTATAAATAAATATGTGGGAACGTTTTCGTTGTTGGAACTCTGTTTTTGAGCAAGATTGAGAGTGCGCGGATTTGCTTGCACAGCGCGAATTTGTGAAACACGATTCTGCGCATGCGTGTTAGCTTAATTTTTCCACTTAATTTGTCGAACGCTGAAATGTCATTCATACACTGAAGAATCGTACAAATTGCTAAAGCAAGTCGTGATGAAGGATTTTCATATATAAAAGAAGAATAAATCAAAGACTTAAGGGAAAATGAGGAATTAAGAAATCAGATGATGTTATAACACTAGCAGACAGTGAAGAAGAAGATAAAGCTCCTTTAAATTACAAGAAATTAAAAGCATTGTTAAAAGAAGCACGGGAACTGTCTGATTTTGCAGTGGAGATTGGGAAGAAAAATCGGGAAGTGGGGAAGGAAGACGCTTTATGATGGGCATTGAAAAACTCTGTTCTTCTTACCAGCTTTTTAAAAAAATATAGTTGCATCATTTATCTACTTGTTAAGTAGTAATAAAAATAATTTCAGTTAACATTTGTTTCATTTTCCCTTTTAATTATAACAATATTTATGTATAGTATGTGATTTGAACTATACCTAAGACATTTTTTTCATAGATAATTAACTTTCATGAATTCGATTTTGATGTGCGTGTAATGTAATATGGACGTAAAGCCCATGTTCGGCAAACGTTTATTGCATTATGCATGAAGAAAGCAACAAAAATACACCTTAAAGTTCTTTGCGAGAACTATTTAAGTCGTAATTATCTTGAGCTTATGCGACAAAAGTCGCATATAATCCCCTGTGACATGATTGTCACTAGTGTTTTTGATTCTCATGATTTCTTGTTTGTTTCGTGCTTTTGTTCACATTAGTTGGTTAACTGATTATTTTAAAGCGTTCAACAATCATCTATTTAGGTTTTTAGAGACCATTTTAAGGCATTGAATCACATTACCCATATGGATAAGTCCAATGCAACCCGCGCATTCAGTAATTCGAAGTAAATCTCTGGGCATATTACCAGTGTTCTGCATCAGCATCTGTTAGAAGTTATTCTACATACGATTTCCCGAAAAAAAAATCCTTCTATGTCCGTACATGATGTTACGAAGCTTCATTGCATACACAGGGAATTTTTAAAATGCCTCGACCATCTTGCAAGCAAGGACAACTCGGAGTCATATGCCGTCGTATTAAGAAATTCGTAACATTTCATGTGGTAATAAATATCGTGATTGTGTAATGTTGTTTAATTTTTTAATATAAAATCATGTTATATGCTTTAATTTAAATAATGTGTACGATTTTTAATATTATTTATTTAATTTTGGCCGATAGATCAAAAACACTTCCGACAAACTTCGTATGCTGTAATTTCTGAAATGATCAGGAAAGTTCTAGAAATATATATATTTTAATTTATCCGGAATCGGCGCGATTCTGTTGCTGCCGTTTAAAAGTGGTTCTACTATACTTGTCTGCTTGATGCTTAAAATAATTTACTTCGTGCTTTTAACTGGCAAACGTTTCTTTAGCGTTGCGTGCATTCAAGACATTTTTATATGCAAATGTATAGAAAGTATGTATCATTAGTGTTGCATAAATTCCTTTAATATGCTTATTTTTTAAAGCTAATTGACGGCTAATTGGATTCTGCAGTAAAAGGTAGCTAATGTTCGGTTAAGTAAAATTCTGCTCTTACTTCAAGTAAATTATTTTTATTATCATTTAAATAAATTCTTGGCTATTTTTTATAAAATAAATTCTTTATATATAATAAAACTTGATATATTAAATAACATTTAAATAAATTTTTCTCTATAATTTTTATTATTTAAAAATTCTTTACATATCATATATCTAAGTTATCACAGCAGACATATTTGTGAGTTTTCAGTTGAATCCTCTGGCAACACCAGTTACCTAGAATTTATTCTGAACAAAGTTTTCGGGTTCTCGAAGAAATGTCTGTAATGGGTGAAACATTAATTTTTTTAAACATATTGTTTTAATTTGTTGAAAGAAATATTAACTAGTCATGATTTACATCAAAACCAAATAGTTTTATTCCAAAATTAAGTTCTATGGAAAGTTATTTTTAAAAATTAAGTCTCTATGGAAGGAGATATCTTCTTAATATTCGATATATGAGCATATCTTATGAAAACTTGTACATTTTGTTTTATTTCTATGAAATAATTTATTAAACATTTCGATTATTTTGGAGTATGAAAATTATTAAAGGGGGGTGTTGTTTCAATGAAAATGTTATCGTTACGATGATAATTGACGTGCAAAAACACACTCGAATTAAAACTCTTGTGTATGATATCCGAGTTTTAGCTAGTATTAATTACTAACGTTAACTTTTCTGTTCTTTGATGTATAATTGACACTGATACATAATATCTACCAACTTATTATATTTATTATTTTAATGTTGTTATTTTAGATCTTTCAAACAGAAATTACTCATGGATTCATTCTGAAATTAACACCAAAAGTAAGAGTAAAATGTCAAATAAGTAATCTATTTCATGTGTTCTATCATTACCTAAAAAATAAAAGCATGATATTAATGTTTTACCTTTCGTTTGGGCGAACTGCAGTTTCTGGCGCATCATCGGAATGGCAACAAGAAAAGATATTCTGTTGATATTTTATTGAATGTAATTAATTAAGATGGAAATTTCGTAAAGCGGGAATATTTTTATATTTGTTAAGGTTTAAAATGAAACCGCGTTAAGAGTGCCAGAAATGGTAATTTATTTGAAGAACTAGTAGAATATTTTTTAACCACTACAAATAGCACTACAAAAACATCTCGGAATGGAAGAAATTTAACTATTAGTATGCAAAGAAACAAAGTAATGACTTCTTCTTTTATGAATTATTCTATTGTTCATATGAAGTATGATAAAGGTGTTTAATATCAAACAAAAAGCACGTTTTGAAACTTGTCGTGGAAAAATCAACATAAAAGTTCTCATTGATTCTCAGTCAACTGATAATAGAAGGGTTTATTTTTAAAAAGTTCATTTCGGTTCCGCTAATTCTAAGGTAATTGATATATAAAAGAACATAATTTAAAATTTAATAGCATTCATAATATTCAATAATTCATTCTGCTAATATTAAGGTAAACTGACATAAAAGAACATACTTGAAAAGAAAGTGATTTTTATAAACTATTTCAAGAACGGCAATTTCAGAAAAATATTTATAGAAAGAGGAACGTAAGTGGTACTTTTTTTAATGGCATTAGCACTTTTTTGAGTGTCCAAGTTATATACCAAAGTCACCAGATTAAAAAAAAATGAAGATATATCGAAAATAGATGTCGATTGGTGGATGGAGAGATGAAATATAAGATATTATATTAATAATAAAAACCATATTTAAAAGTATTGTTTAGCTTTTTTGACTGATCAAAATTTGCTTTGGGTTCAGTCGTTTGTTTTAATTTCAAATAATATGAGAAAATATCATGCAAATACAAGAACCTTAAACACAGTGGCTAACATTTGTTTTCGGACACTTGTGTTTCAGACAATTTATTTGCAAATATCAGCTGCTAAATGCTAGAGAAATAACTTATTGAAATAATTATTCTTCTTGAGTCGGAAACGTAGTGCTATGTGCGATATGTCGGCGATAACAGTTCGAATACGGATACTATATTTTCAAGTGTACTATTAATCGCTTTTTTTTTTTTTTTTTTTAAATCTGCTTGTTTTGGAAAAGTCATTTAAAGCGTTTTTGGTTAAAAAAAACAGATAATTTATTCAAAATGTTCTGAAAATAAACTCGCATTATTCCGACAGTTTATAGTTAATAAAAACTTGAAAATAAGAGAGCATTTAATATTTTGTTATGTATCCTTTAGCTAAAACGACATTTTTCTTGCATTTTGGCATGGATTCTACTAATTATTATTATTAATTTTTTTTTAATTTTAAGAATGTTTTATTTTGTGCTATTCCTCCGTAGGACTGCTTTTAGTAGAGCTTTCGACGAAATGTCATGTTTCCCTATTCTTTCTTCATATATGTTCGACATGGACTTAAGTTCCGAGAATATGGAGGAGTTTTCGCAATTTCAGGACAGCTGTATAAACAACCGCAATTGAATGTTTAAGGTTATATATTTAGAAATTTTATCTTGATAGAAGTTGAATGTTATTTTACATTCCATGTTTTCTTGCACATGCTTTTCAGCTTTTCATTCAGAATGTTTATTTTCATCTAAACTATTTTCTGTAAAAAACTGTATTTCCCATTCCAGAGGGAGCGAAACATTCCCAAAACACACTGTGCCTCCACCCACATGCTTAACAGTAAACCGCATTTAATTTTTCATTCGGTTTTCGCTATCTAGCTTCGGAGCTAAATGCATTAAATTGTGACTCGTTTGCAAATATAGCAATATTTTAATATGATAAATCTTTCCTTACTGTTAATTTTGCAAATATCAAGTGTATTTTCCTCGTTTTCTTGTTAACGAAGAATTTCCTTCTTGCTGATCGCCCTATATATCCATATGCTCTAAATGATTCTTTTAACAGTTCCATGGTTAATTTTTATTGAAATATTTTCTTTTCAAAACCGCTAATATTTGGTTTTTATTTGATATTTCGTGGGATAATTTCCAACGCCTTCGTATTGGAATGTGGTCCAGACTTAAAGTGCATTTTCAACACTTCCACGTTATTTCCATTGTTTTATAGCATCAAAGATAGGTGAACACTTTACATCAAGGATTTCTTGGATATTTCGAATACTTTTACCATCTTTAAGACGATGACCAGTTAAGCTCCTTACATAACTTATCGTCCTACCACGTTCACAACAGATATCGAACTATTATTATATTTTGCTAAACAAGTAATAATTTCAAAATACAGGCAGCACTTCTTATGATTTATCTTTATTTAAAAAAAAATTATGGCAAGAAACTTCATCTGCCAAAACATCTCAACAAAAGTTTCGAGTGTCCGAATTATTATGTGAGTTACAGACGTTTCAAGTAATTTATTTTATTACAAAGAATGTTTTGATGAAATTTATTTTGTAATAAGCAAGGCACTATATCAGAAAAAAAAATCTGATGCCGATATAGTATATATATATATTACTTCCTGTTTCAACTTTTTTCTGTAATTTTAATTACAAAATTAAAAAACTACAAATCAACTTGATAATTTTTTTACTCATATCTACAAAACAATTATTGAAAACTATTTGATCACTTCTGGGGCAACTTTTTGAGTTTATTTTTAAGGATTAATTTATTTTTAAATTTAATTAAAGTTTTACACTAAATAATCCCCCCCCCCCCCAGTTTTTGTTTTACAAGAGTCAGAATTTACTTAAATGCCTTTGAATTAATATGGAAACTTGTTCTTTGACTAAAAAATAAAAATAAATTTTCATTGAAATTTTTTAAAGTTTTTCTTTTGGTTTCAAAATTACATATTTCGGACCATATTTTTTATCCTCTTGAGCGATTACTTTCTCGCCTTAGGTGTTTTAGTTTCGACAATGAAGCCAAAATGGCAAACTTGTACTTCCCTACTGTTTCGCATCTCATAGTTTAGACTGGTGTCTAATGAGAGTGCTTGAAGTTCTTAATTACTTCTTGTGTGTTCTTATAAGTTTATTTTCAACTATGTTTTATAAATTCACTCACATCTTAATTCATTGGATAATCTGATAAAAGGTAAAATTTTGATACAAAAAATTTTTTCCCTGAAGTATTTTGTTTTTTCACTTTCGTTTTCAATTCTTTTAATAAATTAGAATTCTCTTTATTTAAGATTATTCTAATTAGAATTTACTTTGCTTTTTCCTTGCTTTGGGAAAGGGTCAGAATTTTCGAGTGAACAAATTATAATTAAAATACATTGAAATGGTTCATCGGCTATTTCTGGTTACAGAAATGCAAGGATTTCTGTAGAAGAGAGATTTCAGTTAATTCCAATGTTCCCTTCCCCTAATGAAGTAGCATTGAAGTTGATTGAATTCCTCTTCTGTTTTCGTTCATTTTTCTTTAAATTTCATTAATTTTGTGAAATGGGGTTTTGCTGTTTGAAAAGGTTTGGCTTTAACATTTTTTAAATTCTTTGTTGCATTTATAAAATTATTTGAAATTTATTAATTATGAATTTCAATTTTTTGGTCTTTGTGAAATATTAGTTCTAAATTTGTTACTTTATGTCTTTAAATTAGCTTTATACGAATGAGAGAATATTTGTTATATATACACACATATATATGTATGTATATATTTAAATACTTTTGGTGCCTCCGATTGAAACTAAAAAGGGAAGTCCACAACTACATGTGATAACACTCCCATATACAAAATTTCAACGTTCTGAGGCTACTCGTTTTTGAGTTATGCGAGATACATACGTACATAAATACGTACGTATGTACAGACGTCACGAAAAAATCTCTTCTGAATCCATTTTAAATCGGGAAAAAGAGGCTTTTATTCTGTCCTTATGTAAAGATGTCACGCAAAAACATCGTTAAATTGCATTTGATAGCGGTCAAAATGGATATTTTCGTTGAAATACGATACCCGGAATTTTTCGTGATTACAATGCTTCCTTTACTTCGTACAAGGCAGTAAGAACTGGTGTCTATGTATCAGTATTTAGTACACGATTTATGTTAATAATTTTAAAAGTGCAAGTGTCTGAAAACAAATGTGAGCCACTGTAAATGCAAAGTAAAGCTAAAGATGACATTTGGTTAACTTTATAATACTCAAATTCTTATTAGCATGAAATACAATTTATGAAAGAAATCAGAGCAAAAATGGGTTTGGATTATAATTAATACAAAAATAATTTTTTTCTAAAGCATAATAAGCTGTAAAATAGGATACCTAGCAAGTGTGTTATTTATCTAGTATTATAAAAAAAGGAATTTTATCAATTTTACATTAATTTTTTTAAAGTAGTCACTTGCGCTGCTAAGTGTCTAAAATATTTACAATAAAACAGAAAATGTGTCTGAGATTTTAATGAGTCTAGTTAGTATCATTTCATAATCCTAAGTAGACAGTTCAGCATTTCAATACATGTTTATTTAAATCAAACATTTTAAAAATTAAAAAAGTATTTTTAAGAATTGCGCTTTTAAATCGCTTGATTTCTTAATAAATAACAGCAGATTAAATTTGAACGTAAAATGCCTTACGCTTTACTAAATGACAACACTCTGGTCCGTGGAACATAAAAATGTTTCATTACAGGCATTGGCAACACATTGCTATTAAACAGCCAGGTTTGTTGATTAAAATTGAAAGCTAAATAATATCTTTTCCAAACAGCAATGGTCTACCACTCTGGGGATATTTTTTTTTTTAATTTCGAGCAGTAATACCACTGCTTTCTCTCAAATCGCCGAATTTGTTGATAAAAATTCATTAAATTCACACCACATATAAAATAAAAAAAAGCAAATTGGAAATTCAAAATTTGGGCTTCGAGGTGTCCATGTCCGAACGGAAGATTATGTGTATTCAAAATCTGGTGAATCTAGGTGTCGTCACTTTTACACGAAGCTAGAAATATGCAAAGAACATACAAACAGATTCTTCATTTTTGAATAACAAGGATTTAAAATATAACAATTAACATTTTCAGGAGTTAAAAAATATTTCCTGCTGCGAATTCTTCTTGTAAATAATTGTAAATAAAAGTGAAAATATTAAAATTTTACAGAAAATGTAAAACTGGCTTCAAATGACTGGAAGAGCTAATCAAAATCGCTAAAAATATAAAAATAAATAAGTAAATGAAATATGTTACCAGTGTGAATTCCATTTTGGTGTTCAGGATGTTGTTCCTGACAGAATACAGAAGTCGTAAGTGTCCAGCAGTAAGTCCAGTTCCACTTTTATACATTTTCAATTCTGAATTTTCAAAAGCTACTGTCAAGCTCAATTAATTTAGTCAAGGTAAGCCTTGACTAAATTAACTGAAAAGCCATGTCAGTGCCCTCTGGTGTTAGAAATTCATTATCCACACTCTGCTCTTGACAATGATCATCACGGTCTTTGTGCACAGACAAAGAAATCATGTCCATTTAGAGTTGCTTTTGTGTATTCGCTTTCATTACAAATTCGTAAAGTTGAAAGGAATGATTGCATCAAAAATGTGCAAGGGATCTTGTTTAGTAGTTTTTCGATTCTTTGATATTTCTAATGTCTCTGAACTTTCTGGTGTTTTACTACATTGAAAAATTCTAGAGTTGTTTAATGATTAGACAGATCACTAAGTAAGTTTCTCCTCAGGGTCATGCATTTTTTCATTGTAACAGATCATATCATAGCTTTGTCTTTTAACTATAGTTTTTGACAATCAAAAAGTTAACACTTTTGTTTTTGATTTCGCCTGTCTGCGACGTTTTGAAATTAATGACTAAAACTGGTAAGTACTTTAGAAGCTTTCAAATGCAAATTATTTATTTATCCATAATTGCTGCAGATATGGAAACTGACCTTCCAAGTAAATAATACATTTTGAATACATTTGAGAGATAATAAAAATGTAGCACAGTAATTGCTAAGCCTAACACTGCAGATGTTTTCGCTTTTCTCATTAGTTATTCATTGTGGATGCATAATTTCATAAATTACTTCTTCATAAATTATTTTCAACTAATTTTTTAATATTCATCACTCCAAATTATTTAAAACTTCCCAAATATAGGTGCAGTTTAACAAATTTCATAATTTAATAAACAACGGAATGTTTTAAAATCATCTGTAATAAATATGAGTCTTTTACGACTAATACTCGAATTAATCATGAAATTTCTTTATCAAAAGTGAATATTGTGAATTAATTTGAAACAAGGCATAGCCGCACTTTGAACAGACGTGGAATTTTTATGTCGGTACTTTGAATATAATTTATGAAAGAAATCAAAGCAAAAATGTGTTTGGATTATAATTAATAAAAAAACAATTTTTTCTAAAGCATAATAAGCTGTAAAATAAGATATCCAGCAAGTGTTTAGTATTATAAAATAGGTAATTTTTTCAATTTTACATAAATTTTTTAAAGTAGCCATTTGCGCTGCTAATCGTCTAAAATATTTACCATAAAACAGAAAATGCGTCTGAGATTTTAATTAGTTAGTATCATTTCGTAAAAGTATTAATGTCATTTAGTAAAAATATTTCATATTCTCAAATAGACAGTTCATCATTTAAATTCATTTTTATTTAAATCAAGCATTTAAAAAATATTCTTAAGAACTGCGCTTTTAAATCGCTTGATTTCTTAATACATAACAGCAGATTAAATTTGAAAAGTTATTTGAATTTAAGTAATTATATTCCACTGCTTAAATTTTATATAATTTTGTCCATCTATTTTAAAACTTCGAAGAGACAGCTTTCACTAAGACATTATTGTTCATAAAGCAAATATTGGGTTGGCAAGAAAGTAGTTTCGGTTAATAAAACTCAGTTTTTATATAGTAATGAATTTTAATGAATAAAGTCTCTTCCATTCTGTTCGATTACCTTTTGCCAACTTTTGCTTACTTTGTAAGTCTGCACTCACGAAACAATCTGGTCTTTATCAGCAAAAAACTCAACTACGTGCCATTTGAGGTCATCGTTATTACTGAATTTTTTTCCATTTAAGGAGGTTTTTGTAAACTTCAAAATAAATGATTATCCGATGGTGGAATGTCGGAGCTATATGAGGTATACGACATCACTTCCCAACCAAGCTGGGATAGTTGATAAATATGTGTGAGAGGAGTTCGTTGTTCCCACACCCTGGAAAAAAAAAAAAAAGGGGGGGGAAATAATATAGTAGACATAGAAATAATATAAAAATCACAAATATTTCCGTGTGCAGAACTAAGGCATGTGTCAAACTCTAAAAAGAAGATTCCAAATCTTTCACTTAAATTCAAATTTATTAATTTTTACATCTGAAACCAAAATGAAAGCTACAACTCAAAAAACAAATTCATTGAATACAGATAACATTGCCACACACACACACACACAAAAAAAAAAAAAAAAAAAAAAAAAAAAAAAAATCATTAAAAGTCTCTAAAATTACTTCTCGTTCAAGAGTGACGTCATATTTCATGTAGCTCGTAATAATTTTTCCTTTTATCCTTCCACCTTGCAGTGAGAATAAGGGAACTGAACATTGTAACATCCGCAATCATAAGTCTAATCGCTGGGTTTCCTTGACAATCCTTCCATGTCTCGTAATACGATGGACTCCGTCATTTGAAACAGGTATGTTTCTCTGTTGAGGTGCTTTCTTAGCAGATTGCCTTTTAGAGGGTATTTTGGATCACTATCTAGAGTAAGTCTCTCTGCAGATGAATAGTTTTAATCGGTAGAGACTCTGTACTGCTCTTATTAATTCACCACTCTGAGTTTTAATTTTTGCACGTCGACTTATGCCATCTACTCCTGGATATAATTCAACGATTTTTCGTAAAGGCCAAATCTTTCTCTTTTTATCATCCTTTCCAACTAGTACAATGTCACCTACTTTACGATCACAATGTTTGAACGATTTTTCTTTTGAAATTTTCAGAGTCCTCTTGGCGTAATCTCGGACATTCTGCATGTGCCGCAATCTACGTCAAAGAAATTCGAATTGATTTATTGCTTTACAAAAGGCTATAAGTCGTTCTGTATTTCTGTCAAGAATGTGGCTGGTGTTAAAGCAGTGAGATCTAACTCAGCTGGTAAACTGTTAACGGGCTATCATTGAGTGTGGCTTCACAGTTACACAAAGCAGTGCATATTTCTTCGTAATCTAAGAAAGCTTTTCTGAGTATTTTTCTTAAAATATTCTTCGTTAATGCAATTAGACGCTCCCACTAACCTCCCCACGTGGAAGCATAAGGAGGTATAAATTTCCAAGTAATGTGCTCTTCAGTTCCTCTTCTAGGGACTTATTTGAAATCTACTGAAGCAAAAGCATTAGATGCAACTACAAAATTGGTACCATTATCCGAATAAATTATAGTAGTTCTACCTCGCCGAGAAAGAAAGCGATGAAGGGCTTGAAGAAAAGTTTCTGTAGACAGAGATGTTACGAGTTTTAAGTGAATACAACGATACACTGCGCATGTAAACAAGCAAACACATGCCTTTCTTTTATCCCTAAGTATCAAAGGTCCTGCAAAATCAATGCCGGTAATCTGGAACACAGAGGCATCTTGAACTCGCTCACTGAGCAATGGTGGGGCTGGAATATCCTTTACAAATAATGCAAGATCTGAAGATGGATGAAACAGTTCTTCGTCCAGATAGTACCCATAATCTTTCTCTTAGAGAATTTAAGACGTGAGAAACTCCGATTGGTCCTTTTATTTGATGTTCTTCCATTACTATGCTTTCGATAAGAGGGGGATCATTGGGTAGAATGGCAGGAGTTCTAAACTCTGACTCATCTCGTTGATATACTGCTGATTTCGTCCTAATGATCCCTTGATCTAGAAATGGATGTTGAAGATAAGTGATACTAAACACTTATCTTCAACTCCACCAAAAATTCTAGTTCCTATCAAACGAATGAGCTTGTTCTCAGCTTCATTAAACTCAGAAACGGTAAGTTCACCTTTCCTTTTCTTCGTACTTTACATCATCAGAATTATGTAAGAGTCCTAAGACAGGGATTAATCTCAAAATGACGCAGTGCAGAGAGTTTACTACTTTTAGAATAGAGAAGGAAATTTAATTTACGCTGCTAATTTAATCTTTTACATATTCTTTATTTACGTAAAATATAACAAAACACGATAACTGCTTTAAAAATAATTGGCGACCTCAAAATTAACGATTCTAGATTTAGGGATCTTCCCCTAAATTTATCTGTTCTCCCGAATTAGAGAATCTTCTGTGTTATGTAACAACGTCAAATTCATCAATCACAGATTAACTCTACTTATACCACAGACTTGTTATAAATACTCTTGGCACCGTCATTCCTTTAGCTTCGCCACTGCTAATACATACCCATCTCTTCGCTTCATAAATGACTACGTCATTTCCTCTTAAAAAGCCAATGTACATAAAAATTTATCATATTTAATTACGATTGAATAAGTGTGTGCCAAATTAATTGAATACATATGAAAATAAAGACTGGTGATTTGTCGAAATTCAGTTTTGTTTCCTTCATCTGTATACCTTAAACACCAGCCATGACTGCTATCGAAAACTGTTAAGAGTTTCAGGCTTCGACTGCGCATTCAAAATCATGACATATATGTATATATAGGAAATACACATACATATATGTACGGTAAATATATGTTAATTAGCTTTATAATTCAATTTAACAATAGGCTTTTGATTCCTAAATTTTAATTTTAATATTTACTCTCTGTATTCTAAAAATTGCAATAAATTTCCTGGACTGCGTCATTTCTAGATCAATCTATAATGCATGGCTTGCATTAAATTCATAATCTAGCTAATTGGGAAACTGGACTCAAGATTTTGAGAACTAAAACTTTTCTAATCTAAACTAAAACCTTCCTCTTGGTGAGTTTCCGTATTGGATAAATGAGCATTTTTAGCTTGAACCTCTGTGCTGATTGAACGCTATCTCTTTTCGTAACGCAATAGTATTAAAAATGTAAATGTTCTGAAAATAGGCACGATTAGAGTGCCAAGGAAATAGTGGCCGCAAATGTGGATTTAAATAAAAATATAATTTTATCTGCCTCGACTGCCAAGTTTCCTGTTCTTTATGGATTAGCATTTCAGCGTCCTGCACTATCAAAATTCTTGATTTTTATTACGGATTCAGCCTTCTACATTCTACACCGTTATGTCACACCGTTACCCGGCTCGGTGAGCTCCGTTTTTATTATTTTTATATGTTGGTAAATTGTCT